TGGGAAGGGGATTCGAACCCGCGACCCTCAGATTGCGAGTCGAGTGCCTTATCCACCTGGCCATGCTGGCCCAAAAAGTATTTTTGAAACATTATAATGTTTTTAAGGTTCTGTATATGTTTTACTATTTTACTCAGAACCTAACTTTATGAACACTTGGAAAATTCCATTCTCTTTGAAATCAAGATTATATAAAAGAGTTTTACACTATCAAAACCATATAAGAATGTATAAGCAAATGTAGTAATTCTTGAAAAAGTAATAACTTGTGATGTTTAATTCTTGTTTAAAAAAAATCTTTTACTTCTATAAAAATCTAATCAAACATGTTTAAAACAAAAGTTTATACTATAAATTAAATTTATGTATGATTAGTTCTTATGAATTCAATGTAATGAACTTTAAAACCTACAAGAATTGATAGAGGAAACCTCTTTATTCTAGTTTTTCAAGTGTTCACAAAGAAAGAAACTTACTTGTTAAGACTGGTTCTACACAGATGTTGGCACATCCATTAAAGCAACACTTGTTGTCACCAAGACAGTCTGCATCATCATGACAGTAATTCCTGCAGTCTCCTCTGAATATCTTGAATGGTTCATCTGACAGGAAACTATCTGAATGTGGACACTCACCAGGCTTAAGCACTATTTAAAAATCCAGTTAAATAAACATAAGAGTCACAATTGGTGTTGGAAATACCATTATGCAATAATTCTTGTTGATTTCTCCTTGGAGCTTTAAACTGAATAAAAATGTTTTAAAGTACTTTGGTTTAAAAAGTAAACAAAAATTTGATTAAATTATTTTAACAAACAAAATTCAAATAATTCATCAATGTGACATTTCTATTTTCTTCAGTATGCATTATAAATACCAAAACAAATCCTTGTAACTAACTCCCCTCAGGTCATGTACGTGCAGGAGACCAATGGAACTTTGGTTGAGTTGATCTGCCTGTTGATTTATTTGCTTGTTGAATTTCTTTCAAAGCTACTTGGAGGGATATCTAAGCTAGCCTATGTCCCTAATTTTGAAGTTATAGACTAGAGGGAAAGCAGCTAGTCAACACCATCCACCACCATTTGCTAATGAAGAGTTGGATTGACTATCACATTATATAACACCTCTTGGCTAAAAGAGTGAGCATGCTTGGTGAAAGGATTAAATCCCATGACACAAAGATTGTGAGTCAAACACTGCAACCATCAGGTTCTGAAACAAGAACTGTTTTTTTTTACTAACCTAAAGTAGTAGCATGTGTTATACTGTATACTGATGTTATCATTAAGTACGGTAGTACTTAATAGTAGGAATTGTGATGAAATAAAATGATGGTCATAAAAGTTGCCCTTTTATAACCACCTTCACAGAATATTGGCTGAGCAAAAGTAAAGCTTATCACACTTATAAAGCCACCTAAATCAATACATACATGTTTATGGGGTAATTCAAAATATGACTATTTCAACGAACTCTCATCTAAGTGAGTAAGTAAGTGACGTTTCCAGATAAACATATGGAAAAAACGATGAACTTTGTCACTAATTCTTTCACAGAATTCTTCCATCTAGGCTCCCAATCACTCCTTTCTTACACTGAAAAGGATACTAATATATATATATATACATATAATTAAAAAAGAAGAAGGTTACATTATACGGAGGAATAGCGTAAACTTAACACTGCATATCCAAACCTTAGATGAAAAATAATTAATTGTAATATTACATAGAAAATGAAAGCAAAAAAGAAAAAGAAAATAGAAACAATAAAGCTACAAAACAAACATGTACCACTTGGGCACACACCATAAGGTGGGTTGTTATGCAATGTGCCCTGGTTTTTGGGGTACTGGTGGAAGTAAGGCCCATATTTCGTTGGGGATGCACCATCTATCCAGTTCAACCTCAGTTTCGCAGGCCTCACATTCTTAATAATAATAATAAAATAAAAATAAATAAATAAATAAAAATAAAAAGAGCAAGATGTGTGTGCACTAGCCCACAGTGTCCCACATCTCTACCACCTTTCGCTGTCTGCAGCCAGATGTGGGAAGGAGGCTGCTAAAAATAAAAAAAATATTTTAAGAAGAAATAAATAATTGGAATACATACATTAATAGGGGGAGACAGTAAAAACTGTCCTTGAAGTTGGCATTCCAGCCTCCATAATGATGTTTGGACATAAATACCACAATGTTAAGGAATTACTATACAATTGTGGGTGTAAGCACTAAGCTTCGTGCCCTTATTTGATTTTTTTATGATGGCCAACTAGATTGATATTGGCATTTTGATTTTGTCTGATAAATGGGATATCCCCAATGCATTATGACAATAAGTTGACAACTTTGACCAATAACGGTAATGTAATATTTAATTCATTACTGTTCTATAGTGCTGATTTAATTGCCTATTAACAATAAATGTAATCAACAGCTATTTATTTATTTATATATATATGTGTATATAAAACAGACAGTGCAGTACTTTGAGCATATAATTAGATTTGAGGGTAAGTTGGTAGAGATCCTGATGAGTAATAAAATCGAATTTGGTATACACAAACCCCATGCTTGGTACTGCTAGTGCACGAAAATATAGCTAATAAGAAGGAAACAAACAAGTACAATAAAAAAAATTATTTTATAAAGACAAGTAGGGATCGATATATATATACCTAACCTAGCTAGCAATAGTAAAAACTATTGAAACAAGAAATTCAAACTAAAAAAACTGAGTTACTTAAAATTAAAAACATTTTATTTCTACTGTGGCTCAGGCTAACATGATTACACTGATTTGCCAAAATAGGGATACAATTTTTTTAATTTTAAGTAACTCAGTTTTATAGTTCTGACTCTTGTTTCAATACTTTTTGTAGCATTAAAACTTTCTATATTACTATATCTAGCTAGGTTACATATTGTTGTGTGTATCTGCTCGTTTGTTAATTTCCGGTATAAATTCTTTCCGAGGAACTTCAGCGATACAAGTCCTTTCTTA